CCCATTAAGACGAAAAATGTTCAAATTTAATAAAAATACATTTAACGGTGGTAGGGCCACGCATCAGCCTCGGCTGTTGCACGAATGGGCAGGCCCGTCCGGGTAAGTACCACGACCTCACAGAAGACCAGCGTAAAGTGGAAGTATGACAAATACTTTCGCGTTTCGTCTGGTGAGTGAGGTAGCCGGAGCCCAATTTTAAAAAGGTTGTCAACGCATTTGTAACCCTCGGGTGTAGCAGATGTCTGTGGGCGGCGGTATTCGCTTAACATCAGGTGAACCGTCTGCTCGTTTGACAACTTTTCGCATAAAAAAAAATCTAATCAATAAACAAAAGACTGACTTTGGAAAAAGAATTTCATGTTTTTAAACAAAATTAATTTGAATTTAGAATTAACAGCCAAAAAACTTTTTTACTTTGAAATGGCCAGTACTGTAGAACGGCAATTTCATAGGTAAAATCGGTCCTATTATATAAAATTAAATTCACTGTATATTACACCATTCTGTGAAAATTCAGGCAAAAATTTTTGTGCTATTTATCATAACACTAGTTTACACGGTTTTCACACCCCAGCTAAAAGTTGTTATTTTGTTATTAATTTAGGTAGAATTATCCAGAAAAAATAATTAAAAAAAATCTGTCACGTCCGGTTTAATAAATATTTATTAACTTAACTGAAATACATAATTTTGGTATTAATACTAAAAGAAAATTAAAAATGACAAATTTTTGCATTCTTTTTGTAGCTATTTGAATCAGTTTCTCTTATCGTTATATTTAATGGATTAACAGTAGTCTCCTAACACGTTTTCATCCCAAAATCCTTGATGTCGTTCTTCAACAACCCTTAAACAAAGAGTACATTATTAATATGCCTTTAAATCTTGATGAAGACGTTCCTCTTGTTCCACTTTTTAACGAATCTACAAAGGGTCTTCTCTTTTTTGAAAATATAAACTGTCCACAAACATAACAAAAACGATCAGAACTTTGTTTACACTTTCTACTCGACATTTTAAATCAATCCGTAACAAGATAATTGTGGTTTGAAACGAACGAATAAAGAATAAACTGTCGTCAAAGTCACGATGTTAGGTAGTTAAAAAAACATTTGACTGCAGGAAGAATTTGTGACGTGTAAAAATATATTTACTAACACTTTTTGGTTTAAGAAAGGTAGATTAAAATATTTATATACATTCATTTTAGGGTATAAAAAAGAAGTTCAATTTTGTGAACTAGTGTAATTTTTAATAATATAATTTTATTAGGGGGTTTTAGGGGGTTTTTGACTTAAGCTTTAGGGATAAATATTTACAAGGGTTGGTAACACTGTGACTCAATTCAACACCGCTCAGCCAGCGTGACCAGATTTAGTAGATTTCTACTTTTTTGGTTAATTTTGAGGTACTGACAACAGAATTTAGTATGTAAAAATTATTTGGTATATTTTAGTAATTATCTATAGTTTAAAATGAAATTATAGAATTCACGCTTTTCAGTTATTCTTGTACTTTTTTGGCTTATCGGATAAACGCGGGGTATTCCCCCTTTCATAGAATGGATTGTTACTATTTAATTTTCATTCTTTTGGTTGTTTGATTCGTGCCGTGAGCATAGTGTGTGAAAGACTAGTGGGAATTCCTTTATTGAGCATTTTTGTATCGAGTTTAAAATGAAACTTAAATATACACAAGGATATCGCGATGAATTAGAGCAATATCCCGCATTTAAAAGTTGGTTATGTAAATCTAAGGTAAACACTACGAGTGCTCAGTGTAAAGCATGCAACTGTGAAGTACTTAGTAGATTGGCGCACATCAAAGCATATAAAAAAATATGAAAGGATTTTCCGGAATTTCTCAGGTATGCAAGTTACTAACGTTAATATGTGGAATGTAATTCTTAGTTAATTATTCTTGTTAAGACATTTTTTAATACTTTCGACTTACACAGTAGTGTGAACCTGTATTATGTTAAAAAACATTCACCGTTAACTGCTAGTTGTCTAAAGTTTTTGGTGGATACATTTTGGAGTGATGTCAGCCAAATCTGTGATGCTAATAGCAAACCAAAGTATGGCAATTTCTCCCGATTTGTGAAGCAAATGACGATACTACCTTTGGCAAACGCCAAAGTAGAAAGAATATTTTCCGATATTAATAGGATTAAAAATTAAGATCGAAATCGATGTAATAACAATGTTGCATGCAATAATGCATGGAAAAGAAGGGTTACGAGGGGTTGGTAGGAGGATGTAGGAGATTTGATCGTGACAGAAGTATGATCATACATAAAGGCGAAAAATCTTAACTTTAAGTTTAATTTTATTTTTTAATTATATTTTTATTTAGAATTTAACTAAAAAACATTGGTTTCTTTGTTATTTTTATAACTTTATCGTTTAATCAAGAAAAATCATGTTTATAGGTAACACGACAGCAAAAATATACTAGATTTTGATTTTAGTATTTTCTCGTTCTCTTTTGGTAGAATTCAGTAGTTTTTAACCTCGACAAGCAGTAGATTCGTCAAATGAAATCTGGTCACGCTGCAGCAGTGCTCGTGAGAGTATTATTCAAAGAGTACATTATTAATATAGAGTCATCAGTCTCTTCGTGAGACAGCGCCATCTCTTGATGCGGGAACGAACTACAAAGTTCAGATGTATTATAACCTGAATTAGTTAACCATTTTGTTTTTACAGTTGAGAGCTCTAATCAACTACTGTTTTCTATATAGCGTATATAAAATTTATTTTATTTATATTTGATGACATTTTATAGAAAACTGTAGTTGGATACAAGCTTGCTAGATGTTACTTTTGGATATAGTATATAAAATACAGAAATATGTTTTGCGGACTCTTTCGTTTTTTATAATATTCACTCTATTTTTTTATAATCTATTATGAATCATTTCGAGTCTGGTGTCGTTTGGTAAATTATTTACGTTAAATTATTTTTGGCTATCCAAAATCAGTAAATTTCCTCCAATCGATTGAATCCATGTTTTAAATCAGTCATTATCATTTTCAGGTGAGAAAAAAAAATGCAAATTTGCGTTGCAGTCTTTACCTGTAAATACAATATGAATGTTTTGCCGAAACGTATAATGATGACGAAATAAACAAAATAAAATGATGAATAATGAAAGATAACCGAATAAAATAAATGAATAATAACCGGTCGCTGTTCAGTGTTACCAACTGTTGAAAAAAAAACTAAAGTATTTCAAAAACCTCCTAAAATCCACTGTTTTAAAAAAAAAAAAACTTCCTAAATGAAAAAGTCACCTTTTTTTTAAATTATCTAACAAGCTACAATAACTATCGGAAAATTTAATTATCTGGGTAATAAAAACTGTTTTATTTCAAAATTAACTTAATTAATATACTTGACCTTGAACATTGTTCATTGACTTGAAAAATATTTATACAAATTAAATACATTTTATTGTGACGTTATAATCATTTTCATTATTTTTAAGAGTCAGACATTAAATAATGGGAATAAGTATCATTCAAAAAAGATCCGAATGAAACATACCTATCTTTAAATTCATTGTCTTTTTCCCACTTAGCAGCATATTTTTGAACATATCCGATGGCAATTTACTCACCATTTGGGATTTTATACAGCGTGTCTTTACCATCGCGACAATAAATGAACACACATATTATATGGGTTGAATAAATTTAAAAGAGACAAAACATACTGTTAGAAGGAGAGGCTTGTAATACGACGCTGTGGCGCGAGTTGTTCAAATTTTAAAAAGTTGAAAAAATTTTACAAAGTTACAAATTTTGTTCCTTTTTACTTAATTAGTTTGTTTGAAAAATATTTTTTTTTAATTATGGATTTTGTTTAACATTAATATTTTTTTATGATTATTGGCACGTAACGTTAGACGTGTGTTCATTTATTGTCGCGATGGTAACGACACTTTGTATTACATGGTAAATGAATTAAATATATTATGAGTAGCCGTATATTCACAATAAGAGTTTATGGCGGAACAATTTAAAATACTACATAGGCCAATGCTGCCAATACTACTACATTATATTTTGTGTTTTTTTTTTCAAATTAATAATTTTTGTTTAATAAAATACAAATTTCTCCAAAATAAATTTTTTTTAATTTAATGGTACCAAGGTTAAAGTGGTTTTGCATTTAAAACAACGCCACCTGTTTTCGAAGGACGGAACTAAATGAGCTAGCTCCATATAACCGGCCTCAAAGGTACGGGTATCGCCGTATACCCGGTGCTAAAACCTAGTATCAAAATACCTTTAGGTATTAGTTATGTTCAGGCCTCCTTTTGGAGACCCGGTATGGAATTGAACCTTTCTTTGTTTGGAATTGGAACATTTAGATGTTTTTTTAGTAATCAATTTTTTTAAATTGAGATTTAATCAGTCTAAAATAATTATCTTTACTAACGTAAAGAACCCTATTATCAAAAAAAAGTAATTCAAAATAAATATTACTGTTTAACCTTATTACGCAATTATTTATTTAACTTATGGTCATAGAATAAATTTATCTCAAGGAATTATTTGGTATAAATTGCCTAAATCATACGCTTCAATTCGGGCATGATAGGGAAGAACCGCCGTAAGCGTTCGGAGAACTTCGTACCTATTCGGCCGGCGGGTTGTCGCGAGCTTTATATACCGCCACCGTCGGACGAGGCGGCCATACCTATCGGGTATGGAACGGGCCTCTGCCGTACATACCCGGTGTGCGTACTGGTATGTTCATACTGGGTATTTATACCTGTTCCAGTATATACGCCTCATCCCTATTTATTGTTCTGTGCGCTGCAGTCAGCACTTAACACAGACAAACATATAATTTCATAATTTGTAATAAATATATTCCGTTCTAAAAAGAATAGAAGACGAGTGATAAATAACCAATTATTTACAATAGATATTTACCTTGAATCAGTTTACAATAATGTTTTGTTGAATTTAATTATTACAAGCAATATGTTTGAGTGGGCATATAGTGGTGCCAATAAGGCAGTACCCAGAAATGTAGGTCCAGAATGTGCCTATTTTTTAACACCTAAGAGACAAGTAATTGAAACAATAATAGTAACAACGATTTGTGTGTATACATTAGTAAGTTTATATTTTTATATAATTTAATATTAAGCTGTTTTCCTTAATTTGATTACTTGCTAATCAGGGCGTATAACGCAATTATAAGATCGTACTAATCTTAAACTTTTATGAATAATGCCATTGAATGATAACTTAAAATTTTGTTAACAACATTATTTATAAGTTATATAAATCTTTTCTAGGTGAAAATTTACCCTAAGTTACATATTACAGAGGAAAAGAGATACTTTAAAAGTGATAGGGGAGGTAAAAGATTGCTAGTAATCCTATTAGCCTTACTATGGGGTATGGAGATTGGATTCAAGTTTGCATCACGCACTGTGATATATTTGCTAAACCCCTGTCATGTTACAACTCTAATACAGGTACAAAAAAAGAATTTAAGCCAAACTTACATTTTACCTAGAAAAAAATGTAGAAAATTATTTATTGTCAACATTATTTTTAAATTCTCACATTAATCTCTAGTATAAATTAAAATATTTGTATACAATGTGGAGCTACTACTGCAACCTTAAATCAACAAATATATACATTCATTTATTCTTAAAAATACAAATTGTGTTCAATAATTCATGTCTAACAAAAAATAGAGGATAACTTTTTAAAATTGTATTAAACATTTACTTTCTTACATTACTGTTTACTGAGTTTTTAAATTTTCCAAAAAAAATAATTTTAGAACACCCATACATGTAAAACTGTAAAGTAGTTCATTTGTAAAGGTCACAAAGCTTATGAATTGGTAGAATAAATTTAAAAGAGACTTGTAATGCTATGTTGTGGCACCGAATGAAAAAGTTTCTGAATGTATGAATTAGTCAGTTGTATTTGTATAGGGTGTTACAAATTTTGTTTAATTACTTTGAAAATATATTACTTTTTAGTTATGGATTTTTTAAGATTTTTTTTGTGCAAGTAGCAATAAATGTGTGTTCATTTAAGGTTGTGGTAGTAACATCATGCTGTATATGAAAATGATTCAAATAATGTTAATAATTTTATGATCCGAAGTAGCAAAAGCTAGTTCTATAAAAGACCATAGAATGTTTAAAAAGAACTGTTTTTGATCATATAAGTCAGTGTGAAAACGACCTAATAGCAGTGTCACACATCACAAATCAGTCCACTACATATCAGTGATGCAGGTCAAAATTGTGATGGACACTCATAAAACTATAAGATTAATCTAAAACTGGGCTACATCAAATCACTTTTTTGTATTTTTTGTGACTATCAACCTACTCAGTACCATAGCAATGACCTGAGTATCCACAATACCACTATGTTGCTCTATTGTTGAGTTCTTCACTGCTAAAATAAAAAACTATAGCAGTTTCTATGGGACCCTTTATTATGCTAATTGAAGTAACTATAAAGTTTGTATAACATAGAGTAGTGAATGTTTAAATTGATTGATTGTTTATAAGACATTTTATTGCTTTGATCTAATGCTAAGCTACAATACACTGACACCATTAAAACCTTAAAAACCGGACAAGTGTGAGTGACACTCGCGCATGAATGGTTCTGTACCATTATCTATATAAACGGCGCCACTAGAATATTTTTTATTGTTAAAAAACGGAAAAGTGAACATTAAGTGTGGCTCCCATACAACATACATGCTTTTTTTTGCCATTTTTATAGATAATTAGCTGCTGCCCGTGACTACCTCTGCGTAGAATAGGCTGAGGGACTATAACATTCAGACAGAAAGACAGAAATACATAAATTATGTATATAAATTATAGCCTATGTCTTATTCTGATGTATAAGCTATACTATTGTAAAGTTTCATTAAAATCCATTCAGTAGTGTTTGCATGAAAGAGTAACAAAAATTTATCCATATATACAAACTTTCTCCTTTATAATATTAGTAAGGAAGTAAGGATGGTACGGAACCCTCCGTGCGCGAGTCCGACTCGCACTTGGCCGGTTTTAGTTATTCGTTGTTATAGCGGCATTAATGAAAATTTTAAGTATCTATCATGGTTCATGAGATACAGGCTGGTGACAGATGAACAGACAGACAGCGGAGTCTTAGTAATAGGTTCCCGTTTTACCCTTTGGGTGCAGAACCCTAAAAACGGATCAATACTCCTACACAAATACCATGAATAATGGCCCTCCATGGCCGCGCTAGAAAATCTTTTTAGAAATATATAAACTTTATAGGACTGTTTTGCTGGTTGGGATAATAGAACTATTTTATCTGATAAATTTATAGAACACATACATATTTTTTTTTTTCTTTATTTTATGTAGCTTAACCATTGATGTGATAGTGAGTTATTGCACACATCTCAGAAAACATTTTCAGATTCTAAAAAGTTAATTACCAAATTTTGTATGTTCGCAAAACATGTCAAGCTTTAACTTATGTTTTTGTCTATTTAGTACTATTCTCACTGTATTAAACAGAGAGTTATACACAGTGGTTTGTTTCAGATTTATTTGCTGGCAGCTCCTCCTAGCAAGACAGTAACTGCACTATTTCGTATCCATTTGAATTTATTGAATGGACCCCTTTTAGCATTCCTTTTCCCAGAAACAGCTTCAAGAACGGCATGTATATTGAAAAATTGTTTAATATACATAAGTTATCAAACTGTATCATAACATTTTATTTTAGATTTTTGCAGAAGCTGCGTTATATTGGATACAGCATGGAATGATGTTTGTGATACCATATTATTTATTGAGAATTGGAGGTAAATATTAGTACATTTAAAAATAGATTAAACTAATTGAGACTAAGCTAGGCAATTTTAGGTCCATAAAGTAGCTTAAAAACTAGGAATTGTCTGAGATGTCAAATGATAAACATATTTATCTCCTTAAATTATAAGAGTTTTACAGTCTACAAGAAACATCTATGCATGCCAGTAAAATTTGATTTAACAGGAATATAATCCAGTACTTGATATTTGTTTTAAAAAATATGTAGTGACATTTCCTTCAACATATTAATTTGCTTAAAAATCATTTCCTGTAGAATAGTGGAGAGGCACAGAAATTAAGATCATTAAATTTGACATACTTGTTAATTAAAATTACGTATAATTCACATTTTTTTAATTACTATTAATACTTTCTATTTTAGGTGTGTATAATGTAGAACCGTTTTGGGACTTCAACTGGGCTATCTTCAGCTACTGCCTGAATCTTCTTTACCACTTTATTGTGTTACAGATAATCGCCATTGTAAGTATTTCTTAATATTTTAAAGAATTCAACTTTTGTCTGTTGTAAATTCAAGCAGCAATTTTGGCTGTTGCACATAAAACAAGCTTTTTCAGGGAAATATTACCTAACAGATACTAAGGTATAGAGATCTTGGCTACTTTTATGTTAGCCGGGCGCAAATGTCGCCAATAGAAAATCAAACAAGCCATGTCGCCAAGCAATTGGAATTGTAAAGTTTTAACAATCTTTACTTTAGAGATTTAAATTGATTTATTGTCAATTTTATATTATTTTATAGGGAGTCTTTTTGAGAAGTGCCGAAATTTTCATAGAAGGTTCAGACTCGGTAGTATAATCGTTTATTGAAATAATAAACAAACATTTTTTTTTTTCAAATAAAATTGCCACTCTGTTCCCTAAAAAACAGAACTTGTTGACAATGCGGTAGTCATTCATAAGTACCTAAATTTTGCTGTGCACGAACTTGCGTGCGTGTTAGTTATGAATAAATAAGTCGCGCGTAAAATAAATAAGTTGCGTATAAATCACGCACTTTTTAAGATAAGTTCAAATGAATGTAATTAATTACTTAAGAGTGATTTTAAATGTTTATCATCTTTTATATAACATTATTTATAGTCATTTTATGTATTTATAGTCTAGAATTTAATAAAAAAAAATGGATACACTTAGAAAAGCCTCCCTGTATATAATGTTATACGCAGACAAAAATCACCGGTCAAAAGTTTTCCAAAGTTAGTGTTAGTTTATGACCTTCTTCCTTCTGCCTTCCGTGATAGCCTGAGTGAGATGTTTTCACACTTACGCTGAAGTTGCAAACACATGCTGTCCTCTTTTTTATCATTGCTTTAATTACGCTATCCTTTGTACACCATTAAACATTTGTTATAAAGTTTTGATTTAAGAAACGTGTGAATGTATGCTGCCATTTTGTTTGGAAATAAGGCTTCGGCGTCGGGGGTCGTGGGTTCGATTCACACACGGGACAACTATTTGTGTGACCCACAGATAGTTGTTTCGCATCTGGTTGTTTGTCCACGTGAAATTTATGTATGTAAAACGTCCTTGCAACACAGGATAATGTAATCCTAAAGTGAGGGCAATGTTTATCTTAAAAAAAAAGATAAAATAATAACACTTTCGACCAGTGAATTTGTAAGCGTATAACATATTTTTAGTATAAAATATAGCAGATTCACGTAATATGAGATCCCTTACAGATTGTTAATTTGAGTCATAGTTGGTACATCTTATAAACTCGTACGACAGCATTTTCATCATTGCAAACATTTTTCACACCGCGTCTTATCGCCCTGCGTAACGTGGACTAAAGACAAGACGTCCCAATTAGAACGTTTTCGTGGCCTCACTTCGCGCGCTTAACAACATCTGTAGTAAAAATATCATTGTAGGGTAGGCACCACAAGACCACATGGAATTGGGGTGCCCTGTGTTGGATCTGTGACTCACTTTGAACCAAACCTAATCCTCTAATAACCTGAGTCCGACAAGGCGGCGAACCTAAACTTGGAATAAATAAGTGTTGAACATCGTTTGAAATTGTTTTCAATCACCGTAATCTGCCGAACAATTACATGAATAGATTCAGAGAATAGAGCACTTGGACCCAAACGAACATTCTCTTTATGGTTGTAAGAATTTTGGCGAAATTCTACATTATAGCATTCTATTGCCCCCGGCTAACGAAAAAGTATAATTTCTTGCATCCACGAACACGGTCAGCACTTTGTTATGTGCACACAGTTATGTGATAAAAACATATTTGTAATCATTTCAAGATATGCGAGCTTGCGTTGCACGATATTTTTAAAGGTTGGCAACACATCTGTTAGGGTAACTGTGTTGCACATCCTGTTACCTTATTAAACAAATCTTTGATATGTGATATCATTTTGTTATATATTTATCTGCGAGCTTGATGCGAATTGGAGTGAGTTTGCTTGTGTTGGTTGAGCTCAGTTTCCGGGCGCTTGCCTTTAATTCAATTTACTCGAGCAACCTGAATTTGATCCCCTGTGCCGGAATCAAGAAATTAATAATTTTAAGTGCGGACTTCTGACGTGCTCACCGGTGAAAATATTTTGAAGAAACCCGCATGTTTTCGAATTAATAAAAAATATTTCGAAAATATGTAAATTCCGCCAGTGGGGTCGCGTAGAGGACTATGCTCTGATACCCTCATTACAGAGAAAGCCTTTGCCCAGCAGTGGGACATTTATAGGCTGTTTCTTCCTTTTTTTGGGAGAGAAACCTGGGTTAATAACATTCAAAACTTTACTCCAACTGCCTTTATTGCACTAATATTAGGTCCTTACATATGAAGTTGTATGTACGAATAAAGTAAATTTTTGTCATCTCATAGTTCATTGATCCCTTTACAAAAAATCCAATGGTTTTTTAGCTTGCTTTAATTGGGGCGAGAATCAATAAACTCTTTGAAGGCGGTTTGGACTGCCGCATCAAAGTTGAATTTTTTTCCTTGTAAGAAGTTGTCCAAATTACGGAATAATCTTATCCTTTAAACGAGCAATTCTTGTATATATATATAATCGGAATCTCGGAAACGGCTCCAGCGATTTTCATGAAATTTAGTATGTGCGTAGATTTGGGGGCGAAAAATAGATCTAGCTAGGTTTCATTTTTAGAAAATGTCCTTTTATCCCTGTTTTCAGGGAATGAAAAATATAATTCGAATATGACGGTAAATTTCGCCGCAAGCGAAAATGTCATAATAGCTCATTCGGTAATCGGGCGGCCCCAAAACAGACGGCCGTGGATCGCGTCACGATCATTTACACATTTATTTTTTAACTTTTTTTTCGATTCCATATCATTGTTTTCTTTATTTTTAATTTTTTGTCGATTTGTTATTTCGTTATTTTTTTCCCTTTTTTTTTTAAAGTTCTTTCTTTTGTGAAAAACATCAGTTCATATTTTCTTATTATTACGTCGATAAGATCGAAAGATATTATGCATATTTCATTACTCAGTAATTTGTATCTAAATGTAATTTCCAAAATACACGATTTACCAAAAAAAAAAAAACAAACCGAGCAAAGCTCGGTCCTCCGGGTACTTGGTAATCTGTTGGAGCAAGGTCCGGGGAGTACGGTGGATGTCGCAGACATTCCAATTGCTTAGAGCGATTGACCCATCTCGGTTGTTTACCAGCTAGTTCTTTATTCATGGTTTGCAGTTGCTGACAATAGATATCTGTCGTAATCATTTAGCCAGGCTGTAGTGAACGACACCGGCGCTGGTCCACCAAACACTCGCAAGTAATTTTTTCCGAGTCAGTTTTCGTTTAGGGCAGGATTTGGCTGGGTCTCCCATTCTTCTTGGGTCTTCCATTGCAGGGCTCAGCCATTGGGACGAGTGATTCCGATTATCGATTTAAAATCCCTTCATTATTGTGTCGGTTGAGCAAAGCAGCAATCACAGCAGTCGACGCGTGTTTCTGAAGAATTTCCAGAACGAAAACGTTGAAACCAAAAACGTACCATGCTTTCTTTTGTGACACCAGCGCCGTACACATTAATCCTTCAAGCTGTTTCCTTCTGCAGCACTGGTTCGACGGTAGAAGTCGTACTCGTAAATATACCGATTTTCATGTTTTCCATTATGCGGTAATAAGCGACGCCAAAGAATAAAATAATGAGGAAGAAACAAATGAATGACTGTTTTTAAAACTCAAATGTACCTGCTAAATTTATTGTTGATTGGTAATCTCAGATTATACATACTCCTTTGATGTCAACTCTGATCTCTTTGGTTTATGTATTATGTTTGAATTACTTTAAATTTGGAATGATAGTTTTATTTGTTCAAACTGAATTGTGTTTCATATTTGATTGATTCCGTAAAAATCGCATAAAGAAGTAACATGTCTAGCTATCTAACATAACTGTTGTATTTTACATAAATTTCATAATCATTACGTTTCGTCTAAAATAAGTTCAAAATGTTTAAGTTGTAATAAATAGTTTTCTTATCTTATTAGTCCTTAAGTGTCTTTATGGTTGGAAAGTGATCCCATTATAGATTTATAAAATTATAAATTTGAATTTGGAATTCTTAACCTAAGAGGACATAAATTAATAATTTTAGATAATAATAAAAATATATAATAATAATAAACACAATTTCAGATCAAATTGGTCAGTACGACAAAACGCCAATTTCATATGTACATATTATGTAAGGACCTAATATTATAAAGGCATATAAACGCAGAAATTAGTTTTAATATTAATTAATAATTTAATTAGTTTCTCACTATCAACAGGTATTTTAATATGATATTGTATTTGAGAATTTTAATTTATTTTACGTTCTGACGAAGGAAAAGATGCTATTTTTAAAATGGCAGTTTTTTATTTACTTGATTTTAATTACAGCCAGCGCAAGTCAACTTAAATCATATGCTGTGTCCGGCAATTTTGGATCCGTTCGACGGTCCATGGTTTCGGATGGCTGCAGTAATACATCAGGCTTTACTTTGCCCCTTACTGTGTAAGCTTTTTTGCCTTTTTGCTGATTTTTGTCTTACAAAATTTCCACCGACAAGGGTTAAGCCTCAAATGAGTGATCACTTGCAAGAGAAACCAAAAGATATTTAACACTGATTAGTGTTGGCAAGCAAGTCATCTTTAGATTACTCCGAAATAAACCCTCCCAGGGTCGTTATCGTTTAGTTAATAATTACAAGTTAATTATATATTGCCTACTGTAGGAAGAAAAATAATACTTTTCGTCACGTCCATTTGAGAGTTTCTTAAGTAGTTAGGGTTGAAACAACCTGTGTATATTAAATATTAATAATGGTGAAAATTTCTTCACTACTTCGGAGCAAACAATAAATTAGATCTTATATTTGCTGTGATCAATTGTGGTTTTAATCTTTATAAATAATTTGTTAATGCTGTTATGCATTATGTAAAGTGCTGAATAGAAAATAAAATATTAAATTTACTGAAAAACAGCAATAACATGTTTGCACTTCTTAGCTTTAAATTATTTATTGAAAAAGTATTTAATAGACGTAATGCACGCGTTTTTATAATAATGAAAGAAGAGACAAAGTATTTAAAACTAGATGTTACTAAAAAAACAAAAAGCTTAGCGCGTAACAAGACTATTCCCTAATTTGATTATAATAAATAAGGATTATATAGCAATGTAGTTGAATTAATTCATAAAATATGCAAGTAATATTATTACGCGCAATGCATTAAATAATAAGATATTATCTTTAGTGAGAATTATAATCTGATGAATTAATTATTTATCCCACCGTCATTAATGTATCTTTACAGTTAGGCCAAACATTATGTATAGGGTTATAGTTATCAAATCGCACTGTACAAACACAAAATACTGTTGAGAATTACGCTTTTAAATTTTTTGTTAACAGTTCTACTCTCAACGTTTAAATCAATTGAACGTTATTGATGACTAGATTAAACTTGATTTTTTTAGTAATTAATTAAAATTTAATATTTTACATTTTTTGCAGCGTAACTGTTTTTTTTTACTTGGAAAAGACTAGACTTTTCTTATGAAAAACCCGCGAATAAACCAAAGATACCATTTTAAAAATAATAACATATTAACTATACCGTTTCTCATTGTATTCACACCTACAAGTTTATATTTTAAATTTTTCGCAACAAAACAACTCGTATTTTGGTCTTTGACCGATTTAGGAATTTAATACTAAAAAATAAAATAGAATCAGCCAGCTTTAGAATCTCTGTAATGTCTATCTATAGACGCATGTATATCCGTGTCGATTCAAATGTATACTACATACTGACTCATTTTAGATATAGATTGTGTTATTTCCTGCGATGACTGTAAAACCAAAACTCCACTCGAGTAAGTCCCGGAAGTAAGGCAATGTTTACGTGTTTTATATGAAATGTCGGCAAGCGATCAGGCGGTTCACTTGATATTAATTGATTACCGCCGCCCATGGAAGTCTAAAGAATCTGGCGAGTTGCAGTTGCCACTAATTGCTAACTAATAAAAAGTGGGCCTCTGTTTATTCACTTACCAGACAAAACGCGAAAGTACAATACTTCTACTTCACGTCGGCCTTATGAGAGGTACTTCCGTGGTACTTCCACCCGAGCCCATTCGTGCAACAGCAGTAGCCGCTGTATTACCCTACTGCATTAAGTAAATACGTACCAACTAACCTATACCTAATCTACGAACTATACTCTCACTCAGTTACTCACTTGCTCCTCAAACCTCTTCAAGTGTATTTCGGACTTGAACCGCCGTAAGCCGCGTTTTCTGCAAACTAGAAATTTTAGAGAATGGTCATCCCTCATGGAAGTACACCTTTTTCTGCCTTACACATTTTTGTGTCATGTCTACTAGTGAATTAGTTAATCTCTTCCATAAGATATTACGATAAATAATTGATACCGGTCAATCAAATCTTGAGGTAGGTAATCAATCTGTGGGATTGACCGTTTGTTTTCATTTAATCGGCCCTAATGATTTCTGGTGGAGTAAAATCCAGCATACTTTGATTGCTTGTAATCAACCGTGTGTAAGTTCATTTGATTTTTTAAATAAATAAATTTGATTTATTCAACACTTAGTTACACATTTATTGGCGCCTTGACTCCCAAACTATCTGACCCTAGTATATCCTGTATTACAGGAGCCAATAAGTTGACACATAAGTATATACGTGAACAGGTGTTACGTCTGTGTAAACTTTTACTCTAGTATAGTTTGTATTTATTCTTAACTACGTGCATACACGTAAAATCAATAAACTAGCATAATTTTATAGACTCATATTGACATAACATATAGACAACGACATAATATCTTACGTTAATAATTTAACATTATAATTAAAGATCTTGTTTTTTGTAGGTTATAGAGCCCCCGATGTGCTCACTATTTTCGGTTACGAAACTAGCCAGAATTTCATAATATTTCTTCTTATTATTATTTTCAAAATTATATGTAATAAAAAATATTAATAGCGAAACCAAATATTGCATTTAATACGCAAAAGCGGAGTTAAACATTTTTTTATTTCATCTGAATCTAAGTTTGTTATGCTTTAAGGCCCAGAACTGACACAGCAATGTACCACTGTGTTGGAAAACATTATTTTTGTCTCTCATTTTATTTAATTGTATTTAAGCTTAGTTAAGAAACTGGAAGTGTGATAAATTAAATGTGTTTTTTATTTATATATACTTTTTTAATAATAAACCCCAGTCATTTATGTGTTGTATTTTTTCAAAGTGAAATTTTCTATACCTTGTTATAAAATTTATCGACCAATTTACCTTTAACACAAAAGTACAAGTATTTATTCGTAGATATTCGAAACAAATAAAACATTTTTAATAACAAACAAAATTGACTTCTCTCTCTCTCTCTCAATATCCATTTTCTATATAATTTTGAGTACCCTGATGTCTCTGGAGATATTTGAATTGTCGACTGTTATAGAGATATTTTTTAGTTTTACTTTTTCTTACTTATTCCAGCAATCTATTTTTTGTTATAAGTAATTTAATTTTTCTAAAAAAACAAAAATATTAACATGTTCATTGCAACAATAAAAAAAGGTGAATGGGTCATGTCGATGGAGTTGAAAATTACCTCTTTACAAGTCTATACTACATAAGTCGACCCATTACCTAAACCCAAACAAATCACATTACTATTGATTTGGCGGAAGGCCTTCGTAGTTGGCTTGATCGCCAAAGTGCCAAGGAGAATCCATACAACATCGGCCTACGCTATAAAGCATTTCGAGCGTGCGCATTTGATTACGATGAAGTCCATAGGAAGTCTCGGGGGAATAGACTGCTAGCTTTTAAGTAGCTTGCTCACCCTGTTCTCAGCTACTGAAGTGGAGTGGTCTGTAAAAAGGAGGAGTATTGCGTTTGGTTTTGATCTCTATGTTCAAAAAATAGTCTTCGAAGATTGGCCGCTGGTGCGGCAGAGGTAGGGACGAAAGGGAAGAATCGGTAATAAGATGCGCCGTTCTCTTACGGCGGAGCAACAGACCTTATCGGTCGCTGGATGCCAGGAGATTTGTTTGAATTAGACAGCGAAAACTAGGAATTCCAATGCCTGTGCGAAACGCAATACGGCCCAGGTGGAGCGCCTCATGAAGAAGAGATGATTTGGGATGATATGAAGGCGGGACGCGGACGTATGCAGGAGCCGTGTGTTGGGAAAGTCAGGTAGACTTTCTTCACCTTCTCATGCTTTTACACAACAATAACAACACACAAGGGGTTCTTGTATAAGTATTTATTTTATTGTAGAATGGGCATAATAGTGTGTTAATAATTTACCGTGGTAGGGTACGATAGATAAAAGCTTCAGCTGTTGCACGTATGGGCAGGCTCATTTGAGAAAGTAATACACCACGGCCTAGCTTCTTCTAGGCTGTGGTACTTGCTGAAACTACCGAGACCGATGTTCTGGTTGGCGTGTAGTGGAAGTATTATTCTTTCGCGTTTCGTCTGGGGAGTAAGATAACACACTTCTAAACCTTCTATACTGATTTCCATACATTTTTTGTAAGCGAGCTGTTAAACCATTCTGGTAATTATGTCTGGTTACAATTAACTAAATACTAGAGTTTCAAAGGAGCAAACATGCAAATTGTTTGTAAACGCAAAACTTAGGTGGTATCTAATTACCCGGAATCCATGGCGAACAGTTACGACTAGACTTAAGCGAGAGATCGCAGGAATCATTGCCGGATTAAGCGAGCCAAAGCAAAAAAATCAATACTCTTATTTATTTAATAAGATTCACTCAAAAAAACTATGTCTTAGCAAGAAATGAGTGGGTTATTTAAACCCCCGGCGCCCCCTTTGGCGCGGGGCCCGTAGCAATTGCCACTCTTGCTGTGGTTAATCCGGCACTGGCAGGAACAGTTCAGAAATAAATTATGAACCTTATTTACTTAACCCATTTTATTTATAAACCTTACAATACAACTAGTAACTTAACACTAACCTATTTTAGCATATTCTAATCTGATATACCATCAGACGGTATTTTGGGTGGGGATACAATCGTTCTCAAAGTCCAATCTTACGGGATACTAAAATCATTACACCATATGGCATACGTCTACACCGTATCGTGGTGATAACGTGTTCATGGGATAGGGATTGATATGGCGACGTAACTCGAGGGGTGAGCAGAAATAATATGTTAGGGTTGTCAGTAGAAATAATATGTAAAATAGGTACGGGAGTTGGATGTATATGGTCACGAATATAATTTTGAACAAAAAAAGCCGACTTCAATAACGCGAAAAGTAAAACAACATTGTCAACTCCTATAACATTTGAGGATTGCCCTTGATTTCTCTGGGATTCATGATCAGATCTGGGTTATCTTGGTACCACCCTTGAGATATCTCTTTCCAACAAAAAAAAAGAATCATCAAAGTCGGTTCCTAAATAACGAAGTTATCCCCCGAACACACATAAAAAAAATATATATATACGGTCGAATTGAGAAGCCTCCTCCTTTTTGAAGTCGGTTAAAAATAAAAATAGTAGCATTTCATTTTGAGAAGGGGTGAATAGGTGAAATTTAATTGACTTTAGAGACATTAAGCGTCCACTTTTATACATAAAGGAACCTCGTAAAGCAGGTCGACGCAACTAATACAGGATACGTAAACATTATTTATAAATTGAAATAAATTAGGTTTAATATTTATTTATTACAAACTGATAGGGTAGGTGTCCATTTTTATTTATTATGGAACCCGTCGAAGCGGGGAAAAAATGTTGTTTGTTATACAGCCTACCTACAAACATATTTTATTTTTCTGAAAATGTAAATATCAATTTTTTTACTTCGTAATTAGTGTTTCTGTAAAGTTTTTCTATCAATGATATTATATACAAATACGGAGAGGTATGACAATAGCGCACAAGAATTGAGGTCGCACACAAATTACGATTATTAAGACATCATTGAATTGTATACGAAAAACGTTTTGTAAACAATTAACGAAAATAAAACATGCATGAAAGTGATTACATAGTAGCGGTCATGGTACACGGGACCGTCTGTCCCGTGACCATGAACGCTGGATAGGGTGCGAAACGTCGGGAGATCAAAACAAAATAAAAACCACGATAAAATCCGTAAACTATCATTTCATTTTATATGTATAATATTCGCGTCAAATCAAGAAAACAATAGAAAAGTGATTGTTAATAAATAACACTACAACTCACACTAACAGTATACACAGGCACATATAGAAATTAATAATGCGCTGAATTATCTTGTTAGTTCAACTAAGTCGACATTGATTTGTTCAATAGGTACGTTAGTTTCGGCGTGTCAAAAATATAGCGGCACAAGCATTGGCAATTGGCATTGGCGCGGTAGTTGAGAAGCCATTGCAGTAATGCCAGACGCCATAATAATGTATTATGAATAATTGTTAATTTACCTTTTCAATTTCTTCTGCCTTCGTTTTTAGAGTTCCATATCCAAAGAGTAAAACGGGACCCTATTACTAAAACTCTGCTGTCCATTTATCCGTCTTTCACTACGCTTTATCTCATGAATAGATAGACATGATTTATTTATGTTGCCGCTGTAACAAAAAATACTTAAAAACAGAATAAAAAATATTTAAGCAGGGCTCTCATACAACAGACATGATTTTTTGCCGTTATTATAGATAATGGCACGGAACCCTCCGCGCGTGAGTCAAACCGGCACTTGGCCGGTTTTTAGATTTCTGGGGCATAGATTAACAAAGTAACAATGAATAAACTAAAAAAAATTACGGTGGTAGGGCCACGCAGCAGCTTCGGCTGTTGCACGAATGGGCAGGCCCGTCCGGATAAGTACCACGACCTCACAGAAGACCAGCGTAAAGTGGAACTATGACAAATACTTTCGCGTTTCGTCTGGTGAGTGAGGTAGCCGCAGCCCAATTTTCAAAAGGTTGTCAACGCATCTGTAACCCTCGGGTGTGGCAGATGTCCATGGGCGGCGGTATTCACATAACATCAGTTGAACCGTCTGCTCGTTTGACAACTTTTCGCATAAGAAAAAATCCCTACATAACCATATCATAATTTATTTTTATTTATTTATACTTTATTGCAACCTTTAGGATTACAAAGGGCGAACTTAAGGCGCTGTATGCAGGAAAAATAGGTTTTTCAAAAGATTTTTTAACAAGATCTATACATGTTATAGAAGCAAAAAAAATATATGTTAATCTTGATCTGACATTCTAATGGGCCATTGTTTTCAAAACATATTCTCGATATATTTTCTCGATAGAAAAAAATCACGAACCTACCTCTAAACGTGAAATTCAAATAAAAAAATAGACATTATAAATGAACAAATCTTAATGAAATTAATATCAGTGGTGTAGAATATATTAATAAAAAGGACTGTTGTCTTAATTTGTTGATTGAAGTAAGATATTTGTAAATATTAATTTAATTAATTAAAATTAATTCGAACGCAATGGCCAAAACACCGCGCCACCGCGGCGTTGTTTCGGTTCTCTTCCAACTCCACACGTTGAACAGAGAGCGCTGAGGCGCCTTGCTATATGGACTTATGCCGCTCATCGCCCGCTCACCTTTACGAAATATGTTTCGTATTTATTCATTATTGAGAGTTTTAATTTTATTAGACCTTCGAAAACACGAAACTAAAAAATATATATTTCGTATTTATAAATTCTTTGGATGTATTAACGGTTGTTAATTAAATTATTTAAAGCATAATTTCAATGTCTTATCTCGCGATTAAGTGGTCTATCAGCCATATACATACAGTTTATAGGACCATCATTCTTTATGGATTGGGTTCAAATCCCTAAATTTTTTGTTGTACTTATTGTTGCTTTTCTTATTTGGAAGTATTTCTTAATTACCATTTAATTTTATTATTTTCATAAAGAATTACAACCAAATATTATTGTATTTTTTCAAAGTTGAAACAGTTGGAGAACAATCTATCAGTAAATAAACCAACTTATAAACCAACGTATTAAAATTCTATTCTTTTATTTTTTTTTATTAATTTATTTAATTGTTCACCCTATAACGAAAATTTATCTTGTACCCGAAATATAATTATTTTATAATTTGTTTTTTTCCCAAATTGAGCCATTTTATAAAATAAAAATAAAATAATTAGTTGGCTAACAAATTAAAAGTGAAAATAATATAAAAAATACAACTCCACTCGATTAGTGGTCTTAACTTGGAACTACAGCAATAGTTTACCGTTGTGTATGACGCTCGGGTCAACAGGCTACGCGAGGTCTGTGCAAAGTGACAAAATTTCGATTCTAGTTATAATTGCTGTCGTTTATCGATACAAATAAGGATTTTATCGACAGTTTTTTAAATTTCATTTTAGTTGAAAAAGTAATATAACATATACAATAATAATTATAAGTAATTTGCCTTTATTAATTTATTTGACTTTAAGATGTATTTTTAATCAATTCCTTTTCCATTTAATTAAAAAAAAATAAACAGGACGAAGATTTTCTAAAATTGCCGATTGCTTTCTCATACTTTATATTTGTTTATATATATATATATAAAAGTAAAATACCATCATGGTCTATAAAAGATATTATAGGGATTATCTGTGTACATTTTCGAAAGCCGTCCATGCTACTTTCGATAGTATCCTACGGCCCAACACTACACACACACACTAGGTAATGAATGACGCGGTCTAGCGGCGCGTCGACCGACGAAACTCGCGCGCTGCGCTCCGCCAAGCGGCGTTACCCCTCCTCCGCTTCCTCATACTTCACCACCCAAATAGTTAAAAATTCACTGCATACAGCGCCTTAATGCCTTTTAGCATTCTCTCCCAGCCAACCCGGAGCGTGGTGAGAAATCGTGGTAGGTGCAATTATTACACTAAAATATTAATATGTACTACTATATAATTATTTGAACATAAAATACAATACACATAAAATATTAAAAAACACATAATATATACATATAAAGTAAGGTACAAAACTGAGTCAGTACACTGACTTTTGTTATCATATCAAATTTAACCATAATAGTTAAAAGCTTTTGAAATCGTATGTGTTATTATTAGAAAATATAACCCAATATTATTTCATCCGTACAACTTTTGTCCAATATCTTCACTTTAAAACTTTGAGATAGTTAATATTGATTGACTCACTTTTG